TCCCTGGGCCGTGTCCGGGCAGCGCCGCTGGCGGGCGGCTGGGCAGGTCTCTCACACGATGTGAGCTTCTCCCTGTGCCCTCCTGGCACATGCAGCCGCTGCCGGCAGAGCTGAAAGCCTCTTCTGCTTGCCTGATGCTGCGCCGAACGTTCCCCAGGCCCCTTGGAAATGAGAACGGAGGCCTCGCAGGGAGGAGAGGAAATCGCCAATAAAGGGGGAAAAAAACCCCGTGGCTGATGCTGTGGGGAGCTGGGGAGGAACTTCCCAGAAAGCAAACGAGGGCAGAGCCCTCAGGACAGGCGAGGTCCAGGCACCCATGGCCCCCGCCGCCATCTTAGTTCTTAAATGGGAGCAGCCTCAGGAAGCAGGACTGGAGAGTGGGGGCTTGGAAGACGCAGCCCCAGTGAGGCCAGTCCCGGCCCCCACCAGTGTCGTCACGGCAGCGGAGGTCGGGCTGAGAGGTTCTGCTCGCCTGCGGGTTCAAGCAGCCAGAGTTTTTTAGAAGGACACCATGCTGTGAGCAAAAAAAATCTACTAGCTCAGTGGGATTTTCTTGCACATACAGTTACTCATCGCTATTTATAGCATTATCACTTGAATATCCCTGAAGATGCAATCATCAGACTTTTTTTTTTTTATTCCTGCTTTGAAGGACAAACCTGTACTTGTTTTAACAAGTCCCATCACGGGAGCTGTTATTCTGCACGCCCCACCCACACAACCCAGGGATTTATTTTCATTTGAGAGCTTGTTAAACATGGCAGCAGTCAGCTGAATAAACCAGGGTTGGAGAAAGGATTCACACCCATAAATCGTGAACGTTGGTGGAGGGAAGGGACCATCCTTGCCTTGAAAGGGAACGGCCACACCTCAGAGCTGTGAGAGCCCGGCTTTAGTTTTCAGTTCTGACACCAGGTGACTGATCACATTCCATCCATCTAGGTTTGTGTGTTCTCTGTGCACCTTTCCCTCATAGCTGGGCCTAAGGGGAGGGTAGAGAAATAAACCCCAGGTCCCTGCAGCGGGGGGCCAGCCTGCCCCCAGGCAGCCCGAGGCGAGGCTGGTCCTCGCAGGGGACATCGAATCCCGCCGGAGTCGTGCCAGGGCTTCCCCCAGCGTCCCGCCGGCCCCGGGAAAGGGCTTGGGAGTTTAATGTTTGTGCATCTCTCTTGGCAGTTTTTTTCAGTGGGCTTAAAGTCTGTTAAGGGAGTTAGAAGTTCCGTTTGAAACTTCTGGGATGTCGAAAATATGAATATTGTGAAGGCTTGTTCTCCCAAGTCAGAGGTGTTTGGAAATATTTATGCCAGACAGCTTAATATTTAGGAATTGGCTGCTCACGTTACGGGCCAGTCTTACTGCCTGTGAATAACAACTTTCTCTTCCTCCTCCTGCAGTTTTGCCCTACGTACTGCTAGAACAGAATCTGTACCCCCGCATCCAAGAAAGTTCTGAATTTTTACTTTGCTTTTTTCCTGTAAAATATTTCAGCAGCATCAGCTGGGCAGGGAGTTTGTAGCTAATTCCCAAGACAGATCTGCTTGCTCCAAAGGTGCAATTTTTTCCCTAAATACAGGTTTTCCAATGGGTTAAAGACATAACTAAAATTATTTCTCCTTTTATTCCCTCACTGTGGCTACAGTGTGTTTTGTGATCTCAGGGAAGCTCAACTGTCCCAAAAGAGGAACTTCCAGTGGTTTTGGCAGCAGTGGCTGAGTAAAGCTCTTCAGGAACCACCTCCCTGCTCTCCTCAGTGCTGGATTAACGAACGTCTCCGCTAAGGTAAGGAAAATACGCTCCTAAACCCTAAGAGTTCAGCAAGTGCTGCTGTTCCTGGCAGGCAGGCCCTGCCGGCACCAGGGCTGCAGTGAGTCACCTGTCCCTGCGCCCGTCTGTCTGTCTGTCTGTCACTGAGCAGGCCTAAGGGAGCGTTTGCTACGCAGGAACAGCGAGATGCCTCAGCAGGAGTCGATGCAGTCACGCTTTAATGGGGTTTTACCTCCTTTTACGATTCACAGAGCCAGAGTATGAGTACTTAAACATTTTTAATAGGAAAGTCATATATTCCCTTAAAAGAAAAATAGATTTGATTAATCATTTGTCATAAAAGTTGCCTGACAGTTGAAACTTCAAGCTTCTAAGCTAGAAAAGCTCAAATAGACAAATTACGTTCTTTAAAGACCAAGCAGCTGTTTTATTAAAATATTAAATTTACATTTTAAAACGAAATATTCTGATTTATTATTCAATTATGATAATCTTATTGAAGCGACATGAAATTCATGACAATGGGCTTTATTCTGTCCAAACTCTGTCCTCAGTTACCCACCAGCAATCACTCCTGTCGTTATTTAGAACTGTGCAAGATCTCACACACACACACAGGCACCATTCTGGATAGATCCCAGACACCGGATTTCAACCCGGATTCTGTTTTTCCCCAGAGAAATGGGGTTTCCAGGGCTGGATCCTGCGCCTGCTGCCACGAGGCCCCTGGTTCCGACCCAGAGAACCCTCCGCGTCTCACCGTCACAAGAAACAGAAAAAGGATTTCTGAAGACACCAACTTCGTCCCGCAGCACAAGTGAATGACCTTCGAACAACTTGAGGCAGGTTGAATTTACATTTTACTTCCCAAAAAAAAAAAAAAAAAAAAGGAAACCAAAGAAAGAAAAACCAACCCCAAGTTTGGGTCACTTTTTCCTTTCCCACATTCCCTGGCTCTTTTTCATTTGTTGCTCTTCTGCATTTCAAGCTATCTGGCCAGGATCAGAGGCAGACTTTCTTAAACATATTGTGGTGTGAAAGGCTGCTCTGGAAGGATTTCTGGCCACCACTCTCAGTGCAAGATGAGTTGGAAATCTCCAAATAGAGCTGATTCTCAAAGACTTCCACAGCAATGCTGGAGGGGAAATAAAGAGCTTTGGAAAATGGCCATACTCACATCTCCAGGAGCTTGTGAACATTCATGGTAAGGGGGAACTGAGCAGCAGCCCCATCAAAGTGACACCCCTCTGGCTGGATCAGTATTTACATGGATCACGTTTTGCTTTGCAATGCTCTTTAGCAGTGCTAGCTGATAAGTCTCCTCGTTCATGCAACATATTTCCCACCACTGAGCTAAACAGACAGACGGGGACCACTTGAGTATACTGCCTGCTGCTGATGGAGATGAGGACCTGGGGGTTTGGACCCCAAACCTCTGCTCACACCACAGCTTGAGGGTTTCCTGGAGTGCTATAT